TGTGAGGAAAACTTATAATCAATTATAAAATTATTGTTTGGGGAGGAGTAACTGATAACTACCTCAACACATTAGAAGTAATTCAAAATTGGCTCGATAAAATTATTTACAATAAAAAATTTACGTACTCGTCTGAAAAACTTTACACAGAATCATAATTTTTAACTTTCAAGCAACTGTACTTACAATGTCTCCTGATATTTCATTTTAAATATATAAACCAATTTCCCTTGTTGACCACACACAATACACGATTCCGTTATAGAACTCCTGAAATACCTAAGGTCACTACAGCCAAAAACCAAAGATTCTTTGTCTACTCTGTCTAGTAGTATATGTCCAACTTTTCCAAGAAATGAAAGGTTTACCAACATATAAGTTCAAGAGAGATTTGAGAACTTGGCTCTTAACTATTTCAACCGATGTTATGGAAACATTATTACAAAGAAGAAATCATAGATTATTGTTCTTTTTTTAAAAAAATTTCTAACGTTCCAATAATGCATTGAGCATTGCTTTGATTTTTCATTATTTCTAATGGCAAATAAGCTACTTTCCATATACCTATTTATATTTTCCCGTAAATTGGAATTATATGTTGTTAGTAATCTGTATATCTGTCTTCCAACAGGTATATATCAATTTGTTTCAGTTTGTGCTATGTTGTTCTTAGATCCAAATTACAAATAGCTTCACAAACAGTAATAGGTTTTTTCAATGATAGTTTTTTTTCCGCACAAGGTCCAGCCTTAATAGAAACGAAGCTGCATCTTCAGTATTATTTACTGTTTCTTCTTTGAGTGCTGTGTTCAACCTCCTCCTACCTCCTCTTGTGGATTTCCACTTATTTCCACTGTTATTTTGAGTTCGAAGTTTTTCCCCTATGCACAAGATCTATACTTACAGAAGCCCAAAATGTTACACTTTGGAATATTGTAACTTGTTCATTTGTAACATAAAAAATCATTTGATTTGATGGACAATAGTGCCATTCCACTTTTATGATTGCTAATTGTTAAGTAATACCTATATTTTTGTTGGCCTCAGTGAAATTATAACCAACAGCTTGTCCTGCTTTTCTCCCAAAAAGTCCATTCAAATTGGGCCCATTTTAATTTTTACCCCCTTTCTCTAGAGTATGACAAGAGGCACAAGATCTCTGGTAAATTTTTTTACCCTTTTCTATGTCCCCCATTCAAAGCTGATAATGGCAATAATATGTATCAGTTTCAACTGAATTGTTTCTGACTGTATTTTGACATATTTCATTGACATGAAGTTTTCTTGATATGATTTATATCGAAAATACGCACGAAACTTCTATTTGTATTATACACTGGACCCGGATGTCATACAGGTAGCCAAAGCTGCCTCCTTGGAGATTTTGGTGAAGCCTCTAATACGAGGCCAAAACCACAAAGTACGGCTGATTTCTATTATTGAATGCGGGCATTCGGGTGATGAGTAATTAAAAGTAATAATTTTGATGACAATAACGATATTTATTCAACGAAAAATTAACAATAAGCAATTGATCATCACATAAAAACAATAAAGTAAACAAATGTACTTACAGAAGCAAATGATTGCTTGTACCTAGGTACCTGAGAGGGATACTACTTGACAATTACAATGGAGGTAGGTACAATAAATTGAAAGAGGTATATTTTTAGGAGGGATTAATTTTTGGGACAGGAAGGTTTTGATTTTCTACTTCTTCATTTTCATATAAAAAATGTGGGAATCTTCCAAAGAAAGAGAAGAAACAATCAGTTTCAAAAAATTAACCCTCTCTCTCGCTCTATATATAGATATATCAAAAGGGAAAATTTGTGGACAAAACACTCAAAAAATGGAGGCAAACCGCGGACACGTGTTTCTGGCTATTGGCCTCATCAGCGCGGTGCAGCCAATTGCAAAGATGGACAACAACTGGTTACCAAAAATGGAAAAAAAAACATCACATATACACGGTGTCACCAACAGGAGCCAACCGCACATTTGTGGTTTCAATTAGAAGACCCAGCATTCCCAGGCATCATCTAACATCACCACGTAGGCAGCTATAGCTACCTGCGTGACTTCCGGGTCCAGGATATAGATACAGAGATATA